GAATAGTTTGCAGACTGAATACCTTTATTTAAAATCGATCTGAAACATGGTCTTTATATCAGACTTTACAAGTACAACAACTTAGACCGAAACAAACGCAAAACAGAAACAACAACATCGTACTTGCTTTCTATATACTCGGAAGACTTATTCAAACAAAGAGACGATTAACTTAATTCAAACAGCACTGTTTTATTCTTCATTCCCTCTCTTAAACTGAAATCGCCTTCTTTCAGTTTATTCTCCTTTGATGCACACTCCCATACTCCTTCTGAGTTTTTCAAATGCATCCAACTTCACTGCTTTTGTCATGATATCGGACAGTTGATTCTCTGTTGGGCAGTAATCAAGTCGTATGGTTCCTTCTTTCACCAATTCTCGCAGAAAGTGGTACCTTACATGAATGTGTTTGCTTCTCCCATGTAGCACCAAATTCTTTGACAGTTTGATTGTAGAGCTGTTGTCACAGTACAAGACCGTTCCTTCTCCTTGACATGATCCGATCTCTTCCAACACATTCCTCAACCAAACAGCTTGACAGGCACCGAAGGCTGCAGCAACAAATTCAGCTTCTGTAGTGGAGAGTGTCACGATTGGTTGTTTCTTTGAAGCCCATGAGACTGCTCCTCCTCCTAGCATGAACACATACCCTGAAATACTCTTTCTGTCATCCACATCTCCTGCATAATCACTGTCAACATATCCAACCAGCTTCTGCTCTCCTCCTGGTTTATATTGTATTCCGAAACCAGTAGTACCTTGTACATACCTTAGGATCCTTTTGGTGGCGAGTATGTGTTCCTCTCTTGGATTCTCCATGTATCTACTGACCAAATTCACAGAATAAATCAGGTCTGGTCTTGTGGCCGTTAGATATCTTAAGCTCCCCACAAGTTGCTTGAACATTGATGGGTCAACCGCTTCTCCACTTCCCATCTTCGACAACTTGTGGCCAGGAACTATCGGATTTTTCACTGCATTGCAATCCTCCATTCCATACTTCTTCAGGATTTCTTCTGCATACTTTTGCTGACTGATAAAGATACCATGTTCATCTTGAATCACTTCAACTCCCAAGAAGTACTTCATCTTTCCCAGATCAGTCATTGCAAACTCTCTCATCATCGAATCCTTGAAGTTCGAGAGCATCGACTCTGAATTTCCAGTATAAATCAGATCATCAACATAGATGCTCACCAGTAACACGTCTCTCTTCTCCTTCTTCACGAATAACGTGTGCTCACAGTAGCACTTCTCGAACCCCTCCCTTAGGAAGTAACCTTCTATGCGACTATACCACGCCCTCGGAGCCTGTTTCAGGCCATATAGAGCTTTGTTTAGCTTATACACCTTTCCTGCCTCATCCCTCAATTCAAACCCCTGAGGCTGCTCCACATAGACGTCTTCTTCTAACTCTCTGTGCAGAAAAGCGCTTTTCACATCAAGTTGATACACCTTCCATGCCTTCTCTGCAGATACGCCAAGTATTGATCGTATGGTGTCCCATCTTGCCACCGGAGCAAAGACTTCATAGAAGTCAATCCCTTGTTGTTGATGGTAGCCTTTAGCTACTAACCTCGCCTTGAATTTATCCACTTCTCCTTTCTCATTAAACTTAGTCTTGAAGATCCATTTTACTCCAATCACTTTGGCTCCCTCTGGTAAGTCCATGAGCTCCCAAGTATTGTTCTCTTCAATGGATTTAATTTCAGCTTCCATTGCTTTTCTCCACACTTCTTCTAACGCTGCTACCTCGAATGCTTTTCTCCACTTCTCCACTCTCTCCGTTCTCATTATGTGCTTCTTCTTCTTCTCCTTCACTATTTCCTTCTACTACTTCTTCAGAAGTTTCACCCGTATCCTTCTCTTCTTCGGATTCTGTATCATTCCAGATCAGCTCTTTGTCTTGATTGTTTGTCTCCCAATCCCACTTCTTGCTTTCATCAAAGTGGACATCTCTACTGATTATTATCTGCTTTGTTTCCGGGTTGTAAAGTCGATATGCTTTAGATTCTTTACTAACCCCAAACATTATGCACTTGATGCTCTTCTCATCCAGTTTAACTCTCCTTTCGTATGGGACTAATGCATATGCGATGCATCCAAAGACTCTGAGATGTTCCACCGTTGGCTTGCAGTTGCTCCATTTTTCTTGAGGTGTTACATCTTCGAGAGCAGCAGATGGACTTCGATTTAGTATGTATACTGCATACTGCACAACTTCTGGCCAGAATCTCCGAGGCACAGATATTTCCAGCATCATACATCTTGTCATATTCATGATGCTTCTGTTTTTCCTCTCTGCAATGCCATTTTGTTGTGGCGTGTATGCTGCAGTGAGCTGTCTCCTAATGCTATTCTCTCTGCAGTAGTTCTCAAACTCTTTAAAGTTGAACTCTCCACCTCTGTCTGTTCTCAAGCACACTAAGCTTTGCCCCAGCTCTCTTTCTGCAGCAGCTCTGAACTCCTTAAATGTGTTGAAAGCATCTGATTTCTGAGACAGGAAGAAAGTCCAGCACTTTCGAGTATAGTCATCGATAAAGTTGATGATATACCTTTTACTACTCTCAGATGTAGGAGCTATAGGTCCGCAGATATCACTGTGCACCAGCTGCAGTCCCCGGAGTTGATTTCCACATGCTCTTCTTTGGAATGCTTATGCGATTCTGTTTTCCCTTCATACAGACCTCGCAAACTGCTTCATTGGTTTCTTCGTGGATAAGATTCGGTAGGCCAATCACCATCTTCTTCTCTGCTAGGGATTTCAAGCCTCTATGGCTCAAGTGACCGAATCTCTTGTGCCACAACTGATCAGATCTCTCCGTGACCTGCAGATAATTTTCTTCTGCATTTTCCTTTGTACTCTTTACTTTTGCCAGTATGATGAACATGCGGTTCTTTGTCATTGTAGAGTACATGACTAGTCTCTTCAGTTTCTTGCTCCAAACTTCACACACATCTTCTTCAATGATGATTCGAAGCCCTTTCTGGTGTAACTGTCCCACACTCAACAGGTTATTTATCAAACTTGGAACATAGTAGACTGAGGTGATTATTGAGATCACTCCATTGATCTCTAATCTCAGATTACCTCTTCTTTCCACCACCATCTTCCTATCGTCTGCAAGTTTTACACTTGCTCTAAACTTGGTATCAATCTCTGCGAACCATTCCTTGTTTCCACACATATGATTGCTACATCCTGAGTCTAGAAACCAGACATGTTCTTCTTCTCCTTTGACAACATCGATATGTGCCATAAGCAACATGTCTTCCTCCATTTCTACGTAATTGGCTTCCTTTTCCCAGTCTGGACACTCCGACTTGAAGTGGCCCTTCTTGTGGTATTTATAACACTCAACCATGTCTTTATTGAAGCTGATACTTCCACGTCCTCTGCCCTGATATCCTCCTCGTCCCCTTCCTCTTGGTGAGTACCTTCCTCGTCCTCTGCTTCCATCATATCTCCATTGTGCTTCTGCTTTCAGAGCCTGCACTTCACCATCGTGTTGGCTCAGGTTTTGCTCGTGGACCATCAACGAGCTCTGTAACCCATCTACTGTTAGCTCTTTGATGTCGTTTGATTCTTCAATCGCACACACCACATAAGTGAATTTCTCCACTAAAGTTCTCAAGATCTTTTCAACGACCTTTGCATCTGGTATATCCTCTCCAAGATTTCTCATATCATTTGTCACCTCCATTACTCTTGAGAAATACTCCGTGATGGTTTCTCCAATCTTCATCTCCAACACTTCAAAGTTTCTTCTCAACCTTTGTAACTGAGCACTCTGCACTCGAGTGTTTCCTTGATATTTCCTCTTCATTGATTCCCATAGATCCTTAGACGTATCCTTCTTTAATATCGTCTTAAGGATTGTCTTATCAATGGAGGCGAACAGATAGTTTTTCACCTTGTGATCTTTAACTGTCAGTTCCGCCAACTCCGTTCTCTGAGCTCATGTTAGAATGATGTTTCTCTCCGGCCTCACAATTCCCGTTTCAATGAGATCCCACCATTCCTTTGATCTCAACAGATTTTCCATGAGCATTGCCCAATGCTCGTAATCTCCGTCGAACCTTGGTATCACCAATGTGTCTCTCTCACTTATTTTCACTTTGTACCAGGCTCTAGACAAGCTCTGATACCACTTTGTTGAATTTGTAAAGCAATTCAGAACGAAACAGAGGAATAGTTTGCAGACTGAATACCTATATTTAAAAATGATCTGAAACATGGTCTTTATATCAGACTTTACAAGTGCAACAACTTAGACCGAAACAAACGCAAAACAGAAACAACATCATCATACTTGCTTCTTATATACTCGGAAGACTTATTCAAACAAAGAGACGATTAACTTAATTCAAATGGCACTGTTTTATTCTTCAGTTTTATGATTGTTTGCATGTTGACATGCACAACCATGCTAAATATTACTCTTATCAAACGCTTTATGAGATGCATCATCAGCATTATGTATGAGCATGAGCATGTCAGAGAAACCTCTCATCCTCCATTTCGATTGTCATTTATGGCACTGATTAATTTTTGTCCAGATACAAAACGTTATATTATCATATGATTCATAAGCCTCTACCAGTCTTGCGTTTAAATTTTATAAATACTGAATTTTCTTATACATATTAAGAATTTCACTCACAAAATGAGATGTGAGTGGCCATATGTTAAAAGTGGTCATGAGCTAAGTCTGATCTAACTTGATTATGGTTTCTTATTGGTGTAACAATGTAAGTAGTATGATAAGAAATAAATCTCCTCCTATGTTTTCTGTAATCGAGGTGGTGTGATATAAGGAGCGTTGTGGTGCAGCGAGTTAGCCAGAAAGGATGTCGGTATTGTAATACTGGTTAACTGAATTTTTATTGTGTGAACATCATCTAAGAATTACATGCTTAAAAGAAGTATATAAACAACGCAAAGAATAAGGAGATTATCATTTTTAAAAAGAAGATCAACAACATATGTTCAGGTTCGCATGTGAGATCACAAAAAGAAGCAAAGGTGAAGAGCAACATGTTTGACAGTTCAATGTGTATTTTGGTCTAACAAACCAGCTCAAGTAGCAGTAATGTTAATTATATAATTGTCAAGATGTAGATAACTAGGTTCATTAATCAAAAAATAAAAGTATTGCAATACTGCCATTTTTTATTTAAATGATGAAATTTGATAACAACAAAGTGAAATTATTACATATGTGTGTCTATTATCTATTATAAAGCAATTGACAAATTCCCTTGCAAAAGTATTAAGCTATCGAAGCATAAGAGCACTCTAATATACATGCTCAACTCAGTTAATAATATTGTTGATAATTAACCTAATTAAGGCATCTTTAACAAGGAATAAAAGAGTAAACATTGTGGAAAGTGGTCGAAAGCCATTTTAAACACCAACAACCAAGAAACAATGACATATATAAAGTTATAAACGATCACATTAAAACTATGTAATTGTGTTAACCAATAACCTGTAACTATATAAGTCATTACGAAAACTCAATAAATCGAATTTATCATTTTTTGTCAACAAATTCAACTCTATCATAAATGGAGCCGGGCAAAGCAAAACGGTTATAGACGGAACGAAGCTCGGTGCATCAATTTACTACGTAACTGTCGGAATTGGGCTCCCTGCCGGTGTCCCGATTTAGACAGTTACCTAGTAGATTGATGTACCCAGCTTCGTTACGTCCATAGCCACTAAAATAGTCGTTTTGCTTTGCTCGGCCCATTTGTGATATAGTTTAAGCGCTCCTCGTCGAGTCTGAGGATCTCACCACGATGCTGGCAGTTTTGCCGCTGCTAAGACGCGAGCATGGGCCTTGCCGGTGCACCACGTGGAGCGACGACTTCGTTTTAGATGCTGAATGCAGAAACCATTAGCGTTAAGGCAAACAAAAAACAACCACCAAAAAAAAAAATTCTTATAGAAATAAATAGATGCTAACGAATTGAAGTTATGTATAGAGTAGCTATCTCAATAGAGCTATGAACACAATGAATCACATTATTAGGCAACTATAGTCACCTTTTGAAGGAAGAACGCAAGATGATGATGATGAGGGGAAAAGAGAGCTGACTTGAATAGTGTCAAAATAACTCTCTCTTTGTTCAGATCCCTCAGTACAACCCCAATCGAGACATACACAAAGAATCATTAGGATACTCAGCAGTTTCCTCATGTTGGTCATTTTTACGTGAAATATGAATTAATAGTTTTTTGTTTTTGTTTTGAACTGTATATGGATAGCTTGTTCATCCCTTTTATAACCACGTCTCTTTCGCTCAAGAAGAGTATACTCTCAATCAGTTAGGTGTATAATTAGTTTGTTAGATTTTGAATAGTAGTTAATTTATCTTTAGATGGTTAGGTATAGGATTCGGAATTGTAGTTAATTAATATTTTGGTTGGTGGTTAAATAGAGTCTATTAGATTTAGAACTGAAATATATTTTTATTACACATAGTTTATATATACTAGAATTGTTCTCTTTGTTCATTTTATATATTTATATAAAAGATGAAACAAGAATCAACTGAATTAGGAAACATTTTAAAAAAAAGAGGAACATGTACAAGAAAACTCAAGAAACGAGATATTAAACAACGACATTTTACTACGAAGAGGTTGCAATGTTCCACAGTAGATAAATGCTCATTTTTGTGTTTTTCTTTTGACTCCAAGTGTCCATCTTTAAGGCCATTAGGTTTGTAATATTGCACTAAAAGAATGATTGAGCAGTAACTAAAGGTTAGGTAGGATTATAATTAGTTTGTTAGTTTCGGAATTGTAGTTAATTAATAATTTGGTTGTAATTAGTCTAACAGATTTTATGACTGAAACACATAGAGATTTGAAAGAATATCTGTTTCAAATTTCAAAACCCCAAGCCTTCACAGGTTTCTTGTACAAACTCTTGGTATAATATAAGATTTATACAAACCCATTAGATGATAGATCTTATATTATCTTTAAGCCCAGCTGAAAATTTAAATTTCAGGAACAAGAGTACAAGACCATGTTGGTTTCAAATCGAACCAAACCGTTTTATAAGATTATAAATCGAACAGTTATTCGGCCAAACCAAGAAGCCTAGATTTGAGTCGGTTTGGTTATTCTTTACCCAGACCTATTTAGCGTACCTCTTCTTTCTATTCCGGCGGTTCTCTCTCTCTCAAACTTCTGAAACCTCATAAACCCTAGCAATGCCCGCGAAATTCTTCTTCGATGCGGCTAGCGACGACGAGCTCGAGCTAATAGACCACGAAGAAGAGAGTGGTGATGAATCTGCAGAGGAAGACGAAGCAGAGGAGCATAAAGGTCTAGCGGAAGCTGAAGAAGACGACGATGGAGAAGAGGAGGATGACGGCGACAGAGAAGAAGAAGAAGAAGAAGAAGAAGATGATGATGATGATGAAGAAGATGAGAAGGCTGCCGCGAAACGAAGTGCTGATGCCCAATCTCCTTGGAATTTTTCATCTTATTCAAGCTCCGTTGGGGAAGAACACGCCCGCCGACACACAACGTCTCTCGACGAGAAGATCTCCAAGCACCGTTCACTTCCCATCTCCGTAGATGAAGAAGAAGAAGAAGAAGAAGAAGACGAAGATGATGATGAAGATGCCTCCAATGCTGAACCCGACAAACAAGTATAATCCCTAAATTAATTTATATTTAGAAATTGATGGTATCAGTTTGTGGAATTGGAAATTTGAAGTTTGGTTTAACTGTGAAGGAAGAATATCTCTCGGAAGACGACGATGCAGCTGATTTGAAAGCAGAAGATGTTGCTGCCAAGCCGTTTTTCTCTACTTCGGATGGAGTCTCGTATCATGCCGATACTTTCATTGAGCTCAACCTCTCTCGTCCACTGCTTCGAGCTTGCGAAACGCTTGGATACAAGAAACCTACCCCGATTCAGGTCCAGTTTCACCCCAAATGAACTTTTAGATTCGGTTACTAATTTGGAGTTTCAATCTGAATCGATGGTGTTGCAAATGCAGGCAGCATGTATACCTTCAGCACTTGGAGGGCGTGATCTTTGCGCCAGTGCCATCACTGGATCAGGGAAGGTGAGCACAGTAGCTTGATGATGGGTTTTGTTTAATTCTGAGATTGTTTTGTGTAAAAAAATGTTGAGCTTTTGGTTATGACGATTTTCAAATTTCCCTTTTGTTTTAATAGACTGCTGCATTCGCTTTACCTACTCTTGAGAGGTTGATACACCGTCCCAAGCGAGTCTCTGCTACAAGAGTTCTTATTCTCACTCCAACTAGGGAGTTGGCTGTCCAGTACGTACCATAACCCCTGATCCCCCCCCCCCCCCCCCCCCCCCACACACACACACACACACAAGAATACCTTTTTGATTCCCTGTTGCTGAAATGCTGATTTCGGTAATTTTGGAATGTGTTGCAGGATTCACAGTATGATTCAGAATCTTGCACAGTTTACTGATATCAAATGTGGATTGATCGTGGGAGGGCTTTCTTTAAGGGTATGTATCTTATCCGTCTCATGTGTTTACAGATCTTAGTTTGATGTTTGATAGCAAGCTTGTTTCCTCTCTACGAGGTGTTTGTTAAGATTGAAATTTTTGGATTTGTGTCGCAAGCTTGCTAAATCTTGTGCGTTTCTTGTGTTAGGAGCAAGAGGTGGTTCTGAGGTCTTTGCCAGATATTGTTGTGGCTACTCCTGGACGTATGATAGATCATTTGCGTAATTCTATGTCTGTCGATTTGGATGATCTAGCGGTTTTAATTCTTGATGAGGCAGATCGCCTTCTACAGACTGGGTTTGCCACTGAAATACGAGAACTGGTATCTTTCCTATTTTGTGTTTGATTTGCTCGGTTCCTGTATACATATGATATTGAACTCTAGTGAATTCGTCTCGTCTTTGCTAGTTTTCTAGTCCGCAAAAGTGGACAGGAGAGCGTTCATTGTTGAATTTAAATATTGAGCCCATATCTACTTGCAGGTTCGCTTATGTCCCAGGAATAGACAAACAATGCTCTTCTCAGCTACAATGACTGAAGAAGTTAAAGAGCTTGTCAAACTCTCCTTGAACAAACCGATGCGTATCTCAGCTGATCCGTCAGCTAGAAGGCCACCAGGCCTGACTGAGGAGTATGTTAGCCACTGCTTATCATTTCATTTGTTAACCTTCTTAATAGCTTGCTTCTGATGTTGAGCATACATCCTATATGCAGCTAACTCGTTATCTTCTTAACTGTAGGGTGGTAAGAATACGCAGGACTCGAGAGGCAAATCAGGAAGCTGTTCTTCTTTCATTGTGCACGAGAACTTTTAAATCAAAAGTCATCATCTTTAGGTTAGGCTTCACCATAAATGTGGTGCTTTGTTACTTCAAGTTCTATACAGTGCTCGCTAAGTTTATTATTTTGCATTTCACTTAGAGAATTATGTTTTTCCTTCTTTTGCCAGTGGAACAAAACAAGCTGCACATAGACTGAAAATTTTATTCGGACTAGCTGGCCTTAAAGCTGCTGAGCTTCATGGAAACCTAACCCAGTCACAACGTCTTGATGTAAGTTTCTTGGACTCATCGGTTTTTTTTTTTGGTTCATGAATACCTCTGTTTTGCTTGGTGCATGTATATTAATTGGTATCATTTTTCAGTCTCTGGAACTTTTCAGAAAGCAAGAGGTTGATTTTCTCATTGCCACCGATGTGGCTGCTCGAGTAAGTATAAGAATCAAATAACTTATTTTACAGATGATCCTCACAGTTTCTTTGCTATTTCATTTTCACGTCTTGAACTCTCTTGTATGATTATTCTAGGGGCTTGACATCATTGGTGTCCAAACAGTTATAAATTATGCATGTCCTCGGGAAATTGACAGGTAAGTCCGAGATATATCCTGTATCATAATTGAATTATGAAGCTATCAGCTTTCTTTCTTTTTAACTGATGTAAGGGCATTAATTTATCCTTGATATTGCAGTTACGTTCACAGAGTCGGTAGAACAGCTAGGGCTGGAAGGGAAGGTTATGCTGTAACGTTTGTGACTGACAGTGACCGATCTCTTTTGAAAGTCATTGTAAGCGAATCTTCAGACATACATGGATCTTGCTTATATCCATTTCATTACCGCCCTAGTTTGGATATGGTAATTGAATATGTTTTTTTTTCGGTTTCAAGGCAAAGAAGGTGGGTTCAAAGTTAAAGAGCCGAATCATCCCAGAGCATTCAATCGCCAAGTGGTCTCAGATAATCGATGAAATGGAGGATCAATACTCTGCTGTTATTCGAGAAGAGAGGTCCGATTCACACCCATCAAAGAATTACTTTATTCATGGAGTATTCATTGATCTGCATATTTAAGTTAATAAGGTGTTGTTATCGATTTTCAGGGAAGAGCGAGCTCTAAGGAAAGTTGAAATGGAATTTGCAAAGGTATGTAGCTTTGGTTCTTTTTGACTTTAATCAATTGTCATTGACTTAATTTCCCATTTGTGACAAATGGCTTTATTTCTGCAGGCGGAGAACATGATTGCGCACAGAGATGAAATATATGCACGACCAAAAAGGACTTGGTTCATGACAGAGAAGGAGAAGAAGCTCGTGGCCCAAGCTGAAAAGGTATATTCTCTCATTCATTTAAACTTCAATCGATATATATTTCCGAGGTTGCTGTTGTGGAGAGGACACAATTGTCTGAATCACTCTGGATACTTTCTATCAACAGGATTCTGCAGGGAACCCTTCTGGAAACGAGCTAATTAGTGCTGATAGAGCAGAGGACCTCAAGATGAAGGAGAAGAGAAAACGCGAACGCGAGGTCTGTTTATCAGGAAGCTCTTCACTTCTCAGTTACATAATCATTTCTTTATCTTCGTACTAGAGAACTTACAGTTCTATTGATTATGCAAGTACAGAAGAATCTTCCGAGGAAAAAACGTAGAAAGCTTGAAGCTGCCAGAGAGATGCTAGAGGATAACGATGGAGAAGAAGAGGAAGAAGAAGAAGGAGAAGAGGAAAGGCGAGGAAGATCAAGAGTAAGTATTTGAGTGAGATAATACCCAATTGTGATAATGATGGAACGTCGTATAGATTTTAAACGTATTTTTGTTTTCAGGGGAAGGACAAGAAGAAGAAAGAACCAGAGAAGCAAGGACTGACACTAAAGGATCTGGGCTACCGTCGAGCAAAGGCCGTAAAAGCAAAACAGAGAGCAATCGATTCGGGCAAGATGGAGAGGCCAGCGCCGAACAAGAAACAAAACCTAAACCGGAGTAAACCAAGAAACCAGCCTCGAAAGGAAGAGATGAAAGATCTGTTCAAGAGTGATATGAGCGAGAAGAAAGAAGGCAGAGGCGGAGGCGGCGGCGCCGCTGCAAAACCTCGGACGAAGTCGAAGAACTCGTTCAAGAGCAAAGCCAGGTAAGAAAACTTTACTTTTAATCATTGGTTCTTAGATTCAAGGCGAATAATTTGTTGGTTAAAATGGTTATTTTCTTTTTCTTCTCGTGCAGATATAAGCGTAGGTAAAGAGAGACTTTTTTGAGAAGTTATCGAAGGACGAGAAAAAAGGATAATTGAAACAGTTTTTGATTATATTGTACTACGATATATCTTTGGGAGTTTTGGTTTTGATGAAGTACCTCAATTTTAGAACTAATATCAATTTGAAAATGAAAACAATATCGATGATACCGTACTCCCCAAGCTAACCCAATAATGGGCCAAAACAATATAGAAGTTCAATAAGGAAAATAATATCTTCCCGGGATCAGAATTCGGCAGCCGAGATTAAGATTTGAACGTAAACCTGCAAAAAAGTAACAACGCCACTAGGTCAGTATTTGAACATAAATGTACCCTACAAATTAAAAAAGAGTGGATGATGAAGTTTACCGTGACGTTATCTTCAGCAAGAAGAAATCGAGAGTGCCCATAGATGTGCATGGTGCTGTTCGGAACTCTCAAATCTACGTACAGCGCGAATTGATCACCGTTAAGTATCGTTTCTGACCAAAATCCTTTCAGACTTTGAATCACGTAAGATCCCGCCTATGTATCATCATAGAATAAAACAAGATGAAATGAAATCAGACAAAGTAAGATAAGTGAGAAGAACAAAAAATGTTAAGTGGAAGTAGATGCTTACATTTATGATTCCTCTGCCAACAACTGAGAGTTCAGAAACCCTCCCGGTTGCGTGTTCAACAAACAAAAAAGGATATCTGTTAACCCTAGCAAACATCTCGATGGAAGATACGATGTCATCCCCGGGATGAATCTGGATTTGTCTCCGTTGCACTAATTCCATCTGGCCCCTTCCTCCTATCGGTTGTCGTCCGCGTCCGCGTCCTCTCGCAGCTAACGGTGGTCGTCGACCGCGTCCTCTCCTTCCCCTAAGTGGTGGCCGTCCGCCACGTCCCCTTCCTCCCTCGTTATCATCCATAGAGACTTCTAATAGAAACAGAGAGACAACCTTAGAGTTATCGCTACAGAGCCGCTTCTTGCAGGGGATCTTGAAACTAAGCAAGCGAGAGAGAGAGAGAGAGAAAGACAGAAAGATCCCAGAAACACCCGAGAGACAAAAATAAATTAAGAGACATTTCAAGGGGAATAGAGAATAGCCAGATCAAGCAAAAGAACAGAGTCGAACAAGAAAACACTCTAGAACAAAGGAGACTGATGATCGCAAGAGATACGATTTGAAATCAAGCGAGAGAGCCTAGCTAGACCTTGAATACACCCGATAGAGAAAAAACAACCATTGGGATGAACATCGAAGAGAAATAGAGAAAACTCAGACTAAAAGAACAGAGTCGAAGATGACAAACCTTAGAACAAGGGAGGGTGATCACGAGACACGAGAGTGACGATTCTTGGAAGGAATTTAGAAATTAACCGAGAGATCCCAAACCTGAAATCATAGAGATGGTGTTTGATGAAAAAACATAGAAAACCAAAACTATGCAAACAGAGGTTGAAGACAAACCATAGAACAACGGAGCCTGATCGCTTCTTCGAGGGAATCTTGAAACTAAGCGAGTGAGAGACCGTTCTATTCGTTGTGTTATTTTTTATAGGCCTTCCTAGAGGATTTTTTTCCGCCGTTTTTCTTTTTATACGTTTATTCTATTTTAATATTTTAACATTAAGATAACTAAGCAAGCGAGATTAAATATCATTAATCTAGAGTTTAAGACAATGCCTTAAATCTTTTATTCCGATTTCAATTTCGGTGGTGAAACCACATATCTTACTTATGTGGTAAGGCATACACTCTAATTTTAATATATATTTTGTTCAAGAAAACAAACACTCTAACTTTAACCTTTGTTCCAAAAAACTCTAATTTCTTCTCATCTTTTTCATGTTTAGTATGAAGAGTGGCTTTTTTAGACCGTAAAATCTGATTATTACAAAACGAACCGACCTTCTTTTGTCTGGTAAACTTCTATTGTTGTGGCGTCTGAGTTTTATTTATAAAGCGAGTATGAATCTTCTTTATTTCTTCTTCAAATGCAGGAAAAATGATTATGCACAAAGTAATAGATATATACAAATGAAACCCTAGTCGTGTATACGAAGCTAAAGGCAGGAACGAATACAAACCTAAACGTTCTCCGGTTTGAGAAGGCGTTAGGATGGTGGTGATATTGGGAAACTTTAATAACAATGTCACTTAATTAAGAGAGTAAAAGATAATCATAGCAAGCAAGAATCTATGAACTTGGCCTCAGGGGCTACACTGCTCATTGGCAAGATAAAACCGGTAAAAAAAAAAACAAATAAAAATGGAATCTACTAGAGTTAAATTGGTAAAAGCAAAGGAGGTTAGTCGAAGGAAACGTGACAGGAAGTATTTGAATTTCTAGAGTAGTGAAAACTCTTTACGCATAAGGGCCTTGAGAATCCCATCTTTCTTCTTATCCGCATACGAAAGCTCCGAAGAGATTATTACCCTCTCTAAGCAGCTTGCGTTTGTTAAGATGTAAGACGCCAGTTTCCTATTTTTAGGTGTCCCTTCGTATCCTCTCCACTCGAATAACTCGAGATGGGGTAGTGAACATTCAGGTAGCTTTAAATTTTCGTTGGAGAAACGTATACATGGCCTAGTCCAATGACCCTGAGAACAAAATGCAAAAGAAAGGCTAGTTTAGTATTTGGTTGCATGCGTACAAAATCATGATCCACGAATTGAGTTTATAATAGATTTTGCTTACACGGTGGAGTTTGAGAGTTTGTAGCTTAGGGGATGCTTCTATCATCCACTTAAGATAACTCGGCCAATCTCGATAAAATGTACATAGACTTAGATGAAGACGCCGATGGAACATCTTTGTTGGTTTCTGCGGAACCTGCCATTGCCAAGTATATAATCATATATCCCTCACAAATGTTGGATCAAATTACAAATATGAAAATATTATTGTACCTTTCCTTGAGGAGCAATCAATAATAAAGAGAGACGTTCAACAGATGTGAGAGATCCCGGAAGCTCCCGCAGATTAATTCTCTCGACTTCAACATCAGCTGTTACAATGTGAGGCATGTTTTCAATATAGCACGATAACATCACAAACCTTTCAATCTTCAAGTGCTTTAAAGACGGTGTTTTCAAGCGGAAACATTCGCTCCAAGAGTTTATAATGGATAACCTTTGTAAAGAAGGCACCGCAACAGTGAAAGTTTGCGAACCTTCATTGCATTCTATTAACAAATCCTCAAGGACAGGACATTTGGATAAAAGTCTTTTAAAAGATTTATTGTTGTTGCCTTTGTACGTCATACATAGAAGATGCAGAGTTTTGAGCGACTTAAAGGAGCTTGGAACTAAAGTAACATCGAGGACAACACCATCGAGATGCATGACAACAAGTGTCTCGCACAATCTTCTTGGTAAGCTCAAAAGCGATTTCAAAAATCCCATCTTTAGCTCATGCAGGTTTCGCTTTGATGCGATCTCAAGGCACGACTCAATGTCCGTGACAGGACACATATCATGAAGAGTGAGGTGCAAACTTTCCAGAACTGGAGCACTGTGTAGTAAGAGAGATGTGCTAACAAACTGGGGAAAACTTTCGAATCCGTTGGTATGGTTGCGACAACAGTACTCAAGTTTGGGAAAAAGCATCCAAAGACAGTGCCATCGTTTAGACAAAACACTTGTGATCGGGACTTCATTTGTCGGAAGATATGACAGTATCTTCAAGAGCAAATCGTCATGTAAACGAACTAACTCTGTCCATCATCCAACAAAACCTTAATTCCTGAGTTTTGTGATCATCCTGAGTAATATTACCAAACTGAGATCAGAATGGTTTACCAAGGGACACGTGTTCAATTCATCAACTGATTAATTAACAGGAAAGATGGATAGGAAACTCACCAAGGTACGCTCGAGAAGTCTCTTAACCTGCGATCCTTTGAAAAACCCCTAATATGATCGCAACTCCTTCTCCCTTACTATTAAGGATATTCACGATAATCATTCCAATCACTTTAATGATTTATTCATTCCTTTAATTAATCATTATCATAATCCCTATAATCACTCTAGTTATTATTATATTTTATTCTTGTTATTAATTAGAATTGTATTTATCTTGTATATATGTACAAGATTAGGATCCGTGTATACACACGAGTTTGAAAATTATTTTAGAATTTATAAATAATAAATTGAAAACAAAAATAAATGGTTTTAATTATATTTATTTCTGTATTCATATTCGACTTTTTATTAGTTAAAATATTTATTACACATAGTAATTTTTGATTAATTGACTCGCATGCATTTCAATTATTTTAAATTAGACTGTGATCCCCATATACAATGATTTATATTAACTATTACATAATCCGTTAAAAAAAATTGAATATAAAAAAAGTAAAAAAACAAAATTAGATCAGTGTGAACATTAAAAATTAATACTGAGAACATTTTCGCAAAACTACTTATAATAGAACTGATTGAAGAAATAGGCTTTCTCCTTGATTCCATGTTTAATTTCATATTTTTCACAAATATGGCTAACATGAAAAAGTAAAAAACAAAAATTTAATCATTGTGAACATTAACAAAGTAAGATTGAGAACATTTTAGTAAAACTACTTATAATAAAACTGATTAAAGAAATTAACTTTTTTTATTCTATGCTTACTTTTATATTTTTCACAAATATGAATGAACATGAAAAAATATAAAATAAAATTAGATTACTGTGAACATAAAAAATATAAGATTGAGAATATTTTTGCAAAACCACTTACAATAAAACTGATTAAAAAAACTGGCTTTCCCTTTTATTCTGTATTTGCTTCTATATTTTTCACAAATATAATTTTTTCTAACAAACTCTCATCGTGAAAATATCATTTGGTAAAATGGTATCAGAGTAAAATTGACTTTCTCCTTCATTTTTCTTCGGCAATTCTGATTATTTTTGCCGCTTCATTAATTTTTCATCTTATCCAATTGATTCGAGTTTAAGAAAATAACCAGTCTAGAAAAATTATAAATATTTTTATGTATTTATAAAAATGTGAGTAATAATTTTTTTTTTGGATTAGTTTTTACTTTTTTATAAAATATTTTTTATTTTTTAGTTGAAATACATAATATTTTATTTTTAATATATTCATTTTTAGATATTATATAGTACTTATATTTTGTTTTTATTTTTTAATAATTATGATATTTCCTGTGACCGAGAGTTTAGGTGGATATGATTTTAGAAAATAATTGATATCATCAACTGAATCTGTGAGAACCTAGATTGCATAGAAATTTAGTACCATATTTTATTATTATTTAAAAATTAGCTATTTTGACTCGTAACATGATAAGGGTATCCATAGCTACATTTTACATATACAACTTATATGTTTGTGTAGTTTAGAATTTAATATTCAGTTCTGCATATTTATGATTCCTTTTTTGGTTTACAAGGTTTTTGGTTTTGATAGAAGTTAGGCTCAAGTATACTACAAGGTCCAAATATTTTGAGAGTGCAAGTGTTCTAAGCTGTTTAACGCATCAGCTTATCATCCATCTTGTACATTAAATATGAACCAAGCCTGCAAAACCATAGAATTTTCTCAACATATGTTATGAAAAAGCATAAATTACTTAATGCAATAGAAATTTTAATGAAATGTAACCAATTTTTATTTCATATTTAATTCGAATACTATGCCCTATTTTTTACAAAAATTAGAAGCCGATTTCTAAAAGTTAGGACATATATTAGATTAATGATTTAGGAAAATTTTGTTTTTATTTAATTCTTTTTTATTGAAATTATAAAAAGTACTCAAAATTTTAAGTTATTGGATTAGTAATTTATAAAAGTTTTTTCAAATTTCACCTTACTGGAAAATAAGGATTTCAACATTAAAATATATCAAAATAATCTGGAATAATTTGTGAAATAATTTATAGTTAAAAAAAAATAGATTTAAATACGACTTTATAAGATGGTATATCAGAAAATAAAATAAAATCCTAAAAAGGTAAAATGAATATGTTTATTTGCTCGAAAAAGCTCTTGATTAACGTCTTAATAAAATCATTTTGGTAATCTAGTTTCCAGGATTAAATCTGATTGCGGAGTAAGAGAAGTTCAAGAGATAGGTTAGGAAGATCATGAAGAATACAAGCGAAGGTGGAGTCGAAATCAGAGAAATGTGTTTGCCTGCTCCAATACTACACCAGGAACTACTTGGCCGAATAATTGAAAGTCAGTTTCAAAAATCATAGAAATAGTTTCGTCCGCAGTGTGCATAAACTTTGAAGAATATTCGTGCTTTTAATATTTTAGTTCTTTAATGGAACGATGATCGATATTCTAGTTTGATATAGTTTTGAACAATAATTCTATATAGGTGTCATAAAACTTTGTATAACAAGATGAAAGTCACTTTCGACTATCAAATAGCACAGAATGATCCTTTGCAGCCTTCCTACATAACAACAAACACATAGAGAGACCTTTAACAAAACTTCATGAGATTAATTCAAAATTAGTTTCATTTTTTTTAGCAAAAAAACACCGTCAGTCACGAGGCTGTTAACCCCATCACCAGTTATACACCGACTTCCATTTGTTTAAATTAAAAATTTATTTTCTAAAATATCCTGAATTTCCTTCTAATCACTTAAAAATTTGTAACAATTATTCTTAAAAGTTTACCCAAATCTCAATTCTTTTTTCAAATCTCCTTAAATTTAGTCTATATACAAATTCTCTCAAATAATTAATTCAATATGCCCTCCTTAGTATGAGGATGAAGATTAGAATCGTTATTACGTATTTAAAATTGATCGCATTTGATTAGGAAAAAATAAAAGGCGGGGGGACAAAAGAAAGACGGTCTCACGCTTTCACAAGTCGTTGGAAAAAGAGAGTGAGGTTGTAGGGCCCACATCACGTGACGTGTAAGCCTCTCAAATTTCCTCTTTTCTTTCTTACACTCCTCATTTATTCCTTTCTTACGCTTCACCACCAAAGATTTACACTCCACACCTCTATTACACATCTCCCCTACAAACTATTTATAATAGGCAAATCATTTTATTACATATATTATATAGTTATAACTAATTCGTTTTAGACTTTACTCAAATTTTCTCGTTAAATAATATCATTTGATAATCAGTGGGGAGAGTTTTGTTTCCCACTAATCTAGTCATTAAACAAATGCTCAAACCATCCTATTGGTGCTTAACTACATACGAGAAGAAGAATAACAAAATCCAAGAATAGCAAGAAGCAAGAAGGTACATACATTGATCTATAACAAAAGAAAAAAAAATGAAAGAGATCATTGCATGCCACCACAAAAACAAAGACTAAAGTAGTAAAAGTGAAGGGATGTTGACATAAAACGAGAAAGAGAGTAGGTGGTACGCTGTCGTTTTGTTTTTCCAGAAATAACAATACAAACAACACAACACATTTAACTCAACATATTCCCGAGGACCCCCCGGTTCTGACGGAGTTTATTGCATTTGTCTTTTTTACTTTTTCTCCTTTGTTTTCGGTTTATCTTTGGTTTTAAATTTCACTTTATTGATTCTGATCCAAGTCTAAGATAATCTGAAAAATAGTACTGTAATAACATAATGGCGAAATAATTTATCTCATCTATTTCATAAATCTGTGTGATGGCGATTTATGATCATGCCGCTATCGATTCAGAACGTATTCATTGCGCATATATATATATATATATATATATATATATATATATATATGTAACATGCAATATTATTCATCAAAATTAGTACTTCTTTTGTTTTTAATTGTTTGATATTTTAGGATTTATATTTATTTTTAAATGTTTGATGTTTTAGCTTTAATTATTATATTTTAAATTAAATATTATTTTTACTTTTATTTTATTGATATAATTATATTGAAAAGCAAAAAAGTAAAACAAAAGTAAAATGTCTTAAAATTTATGTCAGAACTAAAACATCATACATTAAAAAAACGGAGGAAATATTATGTTTTATTTTTACATTACATATACTGGTTCTCTAATCATCTTCTCAAATTCAGAATTGTGTTTGAATTTGAATTTAGCGAACCTGAATGATTTGCCGTAATCGATTTGGCTTAATGCAAGTATTTTATTTTTCTTTTGTATTAAAGATATCTTAATTTGTTTTTTCAGCAACATATCATATGCAATTTTAAATATTGATGGTGATCAACGAATTATGTGTATCAGAATTTTTCTTTAACAAATGATGTATTCAGAATAACAAAAAGTAATAATCCTATTTCAAAGATCAATTTTCCAATACAAAAAGTCATATTCAAGCTCACCGAAAATATTGATATCTTAACAGATTAGGCTAACCTCTCTCTCGGATTTCGAATTTGTCTTATTTAACATATCAAACAAAAATATTAAACCCATTATACCAAAATTTGAGGATTCCACTATTAGTAAATAATTGTAATTTTAAAGGTCATTAAAAATTAAAAATCTGCACTTCCCCAAAAAGCTATAACGGCGAGTGCATCCATAAAAGCAATGCAACGTATGGACACATGTCTTCAGAAAGAAAGAAGTGAGAATAGAAAGAAAGTTTCATCTTCAAGCAAACGCATTACCAGAGAAAGAGATCAGAAAGAAAGCGTCTCTGTTTACATTTAACCACAACAACAACAAAACCCACAAAATTAAAGAGTCTCTCTGCTTTTTCATTTTATCCACAAAAAAAATCGAAAAATCGTGTTCGATTGCCAAATGGGTTCCAACTGATTCATCCGTTATAGTTCTTTTGGTTTTTTCTTCTACATTTCTTCGTTTTCTTGTGGTGAAAAAATGATGAAGAGAGAGACGTTAGAAGAAGTTGGAATAATCGGAGGATTGGTCGGAGCTCAGGTGATTTACGCCGGAAACTCAGAGTTACTGAGTAAGTTGATGTCTCTTGGAGTCGACCCGATTCTTATCGTCATCTTCTGCACCTTCGCATCATTTCTTCTCATCACTCCTGTCGCTTTTCACCTTGAGAGGTAACTCCTTTTTTTTTTTTTTTTTGATAATCACTACTCTCTGTTTCAACTAAGCAAAGTTTCGAACTTTATTTTTATTTTCAAAATTTTGGATTTTGTTAATATTTTTGATATTTTGTGTGTTTTTGGTGGTGGGTGTTTGCAGGAAACTGTGGCCCAGAAGTCTAAGTTTCAAGTTGAAGACAAAACTAGTAGTGGTTGCTCTTGTTGGGTAAAAAGTCCTCTTAATTTCTTTCTGCATGTTTTGATTGGTTAGATGCTTGCTTGCTTCATCTGTGAAATGAGAAGTGTTTAAAATAATCAAAACAACGGTGATTAATTAAGAGAGAAGATTGTGTTTGAAACAGAGTGACTCTGTTCCAGTGGTTATTCTTAGAAGGAATGAAACACACCTCTGCATCAATGGCAACAGCTATGCCAAATCTCTGTCCTGCTTTCATTTTCGTCATCGCTTGGGCTGTTGGGTAAAATCCTTTTACTACTTTTCTGTTAATTTTGTATATATGAAGATTAGAGCTTTTATTAAATGGGACAAAAATAATTGGCATGGTTAAGCATGGAGAAAGTGAAGCTAAGCTGTATGCACAGTAGAGTTAAGATGGGAGGGACAGTGTTGTGTGTGATGGGAGCTTTCATTATGAGCTTTATGCACAGTACTACTAGTACTCCCACTTCGAGCTCGGTCAAGGCTTTGCCTATTGTCTCCGACCACGTCGTTCTGGACAAGGATAAGATCATAGGTTGCATCTACCTCTTCCTTTCCATCTGCTGCTTATCCTCTAATATTGTCCTCCAGGTTTCACCTCAGTTCCTTCCTTCTTAGCTCTATGCATGATTAAAGTTAGTATTTATATCATTTCACAATTGTTACTAATCGGGTATTTGCTTGTGAAATCACATTAGGCATCCATACTAGTCGAGTTTCCGGCGCCTGTATCTATGCTTTCAGTGGTATCTTTGATCGGTGGGATCACCACGGTAGCTTTGCAGTATGTCCTTAAAGGGAGTTTGGAAATGGGAAGTGCATCAGTGATCGGTCTAGGCCGCCTTGTGGGATACGCAATGCTGGTACTTATAATATTCCTCAAGAATATTATACGGTGTGATAACATTTGAACGTGTTGAAAAATGTTGTAAGAATTTCCTTTGTAGGGAGGGTTGGTGTGTGGAGCAGGGTTAAGCTTTAATGCATGGGTGATTAAGAAGAAAGGACCAGTGATTGTGTCACTCTTTAGTCCAATTGCAACTGTGGTGTGTGTTGTTGTCTCTGCTTTCTCCATGGAAGAGAGGTTTAACTTTGGAAGGTATTTTTTTTAGTGTTTCTTCTTTCAAAGTATATGATCCTTTTTGGACATAAAGAGAAGTCAATTATCTTCTTTCTTGTCTTTGTCTTTGTGAAATTAGCTTTGCGGGAATGGCGTTGATGTTCGGAGGACTCTACTTCGTTCTGTGGGCTAAAGGGAAAGAGGGTTGTGGAGAAGTAGTTGAAGAAAAAGGAGATGAAGAAGAATGTGTGCTTAGAGCAGATTTTGATCTCGAGAAGCCTCTCTTGCGTTAAAGTCTTCTTTTCTTAATGTTCATGTGAATTTAGTTTAAGGTTTAAAGAAAGTAATATCAGTTTTACTATACAGATTATAGAACCATGTAATGTAAATATATTCCATGTTACTATATGTGATACCAAAATAGCTGGACATTAAAATGATCCCATACTGGTCGAAGAAGTAGGAAAAAAAAGCCTGAACGATGTCATCATTGTCGTATAACAAGTTGTTTAATGTGAAGATGTATTGAAAGAAATTGTTTTGTTTTTTCTTCGACCACTTTAAGCCGAATTTAGTTTTTTTCCAAGATTTTGAGCATTCAAGCTTTCCAAGAGTGGGGTACGTATTGTTCGGACGGTATAGTAGCATTCTCGTTTCGGTTTGGATAAAATCGAACCGAACATATATAACTCACCAGTTCATAAAAAGTTGTTTTGCACAATATTCTTTAGATCTATAACTTATTATAAAATATTAGTGTTAAAATATTTAAAATAAATGATTGAATATATTACTAAAAAGTTGGATTGAATTTTCTATAAAAGTAATATTTTCATTATTGATTAAAGAGCTTTATATAAGATATTGTGTAAACATTAATATTCCTGGATCATGCCGTACTGTTTAGAAAAAAAAAGTGATGGGGTATTTTTTTGTTCCCTTCGGTTTCTTTATCAGTTTAATACTGTAAAACTGGTAACCATTTTTCTTGTAGTCGACCATACATCTATTTGGATTAGAATAATTGATTATTAAGTTTTTGCTTTTGTTTCTGTCTGAAGAGTTATGGATAGGGTGAAGATTGAGATTGAAGCAAAGCTAAGTAGTTAACACTATAGATTCCATTGTGCAAGCCTCTTCTTTACTCAACTATATATATACATATTAAAGTTCCAACAACCCAAATTCAATATTTTGCCTTTCCTATTCTTGGTAATGTTATATATATATATATATATATATATATATATATATATTCTTTGATCAGCCTTCTTTTTTGTTCTCTTTTTCTTTTATTAAAACATGATTATCATGCGTATATTAACAATGTTATGCATTCTTGTCTACTGGTATATCTTATGAAAATTCATACTCTTTGCAACGATTTGGCGCATCCACTTGATGTTTGACGCCCATGCATATTCAAATGAAAAGAAAGCCTATTGCAGAATTTATACACCGAATATAGAGTATTTGATAGAGTATTTTTTGTCACTACAATTTTTATATGATGATTAGTTGACGATGTATAAATCAAAATTTCGCCCACATTTATCATAAGAACAAAGAAACCAACCAAACTAGCATCGAGCCAATAGTAATAATGTTATAGTCCTATATCATGAATTATTTCTTCTATTTTTTTGGTCAAGGCCTGAACCATTACTTAAAAGGTAAAAAGATATTAAAGAGATCTCAATCTGAATATGTCAAGCTTATTGACACTGCAGCCATAAACGAAATCCAATCCCGGTTCGAAAATTCAAAATATTAAAACTAATCATATACTTGAACCCATCACCAGGTTGTTTTTGTCTTTTTCTTCAAGTGAAACCAGAGCAATGAGTATAATCTCTCTGTTGCCCAACAGAAGAATGACAGCCAGGAGTTCTGAATACAGCAAACAAAAGATGACAACAAGGAATTCTCAAGTTAGCTAAACCAATTCGATTGGAATGTACTGTTAGATCACGGCTTCTCTAACTTAAAAAAAAAAACTAGTAATTAATAAATCAACTCATATTTTTATATATTCTATTAAAAATTATAGCTCTTTTAGTTTATTCATCTTTTACTAAATTCTATTTCTATTTTAAATTAACTATATTAGATTATGAATTTTAAACTTAAAATCAATGGATAATAAATAGATTAATTCATATCTTATATATTAGTGTAAAATCATCTCCATTTCTAATGGAATATTTTAAATTGTATGGATGTATATTGTTAAAAAAATGCAAATCATGTCAAATGATTTCATGAAAAAACGGTTTCAGAAACAAAGTTCAATTACACGTTTCACATCTAAATTCAGTCATTTTGATATTAATTTTCTTTATAATTTTTATTTTATTTAGAGTAGTCTAATGGATAGAAACGCTTATAGCATTTTTAATGGGAGATTCTCTATATAAGATATTTTATAAATTTTATATTAATTTAATTTAATAATATAATTAAGTTGTAAATTTAAAAGAAAATAAACTAATCATATAATGCCACATATATAGAAAGAAGACTCTTAAACGGTTAGAAGTGGTCTCTCAAATCTCTTCTTTGTGCAATGTTAAAAAATTTGAGAGCATCCATATTAGTAATCACTCTCAATATTAATTTTTTTGTTTTTTGACATCAAAAGAAACCTTTCATATATCAGAACCTGGTACAAATAGGCTTGTCTTATCGGCTAGTCAGACCGGAACCTCAACGTTTACAAAATTAAAAACAAGATCCTGATTACGGGCTCCTTTTGCAAGGGCATCCGTCCGATAGTTTAACGATCGTGATATATGAGAAAGCGAAAAACTCGTGAAACTATCCCGACAAAGCAGGAATTCTTCCATAGCGGCTGAGAGATTTGGCCAGTCTTCTTCTCCATCCATGATCTTCACCAATTGTAGACAATCTGTTTGAAGATGTAGCGATGTGAATCCGCGATTATATATTGTCTTCAAAGCCCATATCGCGGTTTCGATCTCAGCGTGAAGGGGAGATGGGACACATTCGCCTGCAAACGAGCCAAGTAAAACTCGAGTGCCATTCTGCATCAAGACGAAACCTCCTCCAAACAAATTTTTCGCATTACTCCATGAAGCATCCACCTGGCATACGAGTTCCTCACCTGCGAAATTTTCCAGCAGTTCAGAGGGTTGGTGAATTATCACCTCGGTATTCTTCTCGATCCGATTAGCCGTAATCCAGACCTCTGCTTCTTGACTCGCCAGATCGGTTGTGTCCATGGGCGACACCTCCTTATTGTTGAAGACTTTTTTATGTTTTGCTTTCCATATATACCATATGATCCATGGGAATATCTTCGAATGTTTCTCTGTTATGCCGTAGCTAAGTGTTCGGAAAAGCAGAAAATCCATATTAGAAAACAGAGCATTACACGGAAAAACCTCTGGAACAAAAGGGATAGGGGACAAAGCCCATGTTTGCAGAGCCGGGGGGCACTCGAAGAAGATGTGGTTGATAGTTTCATTCTCGCCGCCGCACCTGGGGCATGTTCTATCTGTACCACAATGGCGATCAGCCAGTCTAACTCCTGCAACCAAGCTACCCGTCATGATTTGCCAGAGGGTATGTTTGATCTTGCGTGAAGTTCTTATTTCCCACACCCGACTTTGTAGGGCCGTCGTGCTTGGTTTGCAAAGCCCTCGGGGGTTGTCTCTGTCATCCATCTCACAAGAAAGCTCGTAACCCGTTTTAACGGAGTAGTTACCTGACTTTGTGTATATCCAACAGTAATCATCCATCTCAAACTTACGTAGAGGTTTAAGGCTCATGATTTGTTCGGCATCATCTGGGACTATTAATGAACGAACCAAATCCACCTTCCAAGTTTTGGAATCAAAGTCTATTAAATGATTTACATAAAGATTTGGATCTTTGACATTACTCAAACGGCAGGTCGTGCCGGAATAGACGGAATCCAGAGATCATCCCAGACTTTGGTATTGAAACCAGACTTGATAGTTTTCCTTAGACCCGGTTTAAGCAGGTGCTTGGCTGCCATGATACTGCGCCAGCCATAGGATGGTGCATTGGAATTTTCCACTTCTAAAGGGTTTGAGTAGCGGAAGTATCTGTCTTTTAGAACCCGGGCCAAAAGAGAAGAGGGATATCTGAGTAACCTCCACAGTTGTTTCGCAAGTAAGGCGAGGTTAAAGAGTTTTAAATCCTTAAACCCCAGACCTCCTTTGCTTTGAGGGATGCAAATTTTGTCCCACGCAAGCCAGTGTAGACCGCGATTGTTAGACTTTTTGCTCCACCAAAAACGAGAGATAGCCGCTCTCATTTTGGCTATAACGTCCTATGGAAGGAGATAAGTAGACATAACGAAGGTCGGAATAGCTTGCGCCACCGATTTCAGTAGTACTTCCTTTCCTCCTTTGGATGGTAGCTTCGAAGACCATGAGTTTACTCTGTTGTTTAACCTTTCCTGAATATAAGAGAAGACTTGTTTTTTTGAGCCACATATCTTTTCAGGTAAACCCAGATACATCCCCATACCTCCCTCTGTATTGATCCCAAGTGCCTGCTTTAGAGCTTGCTTCCCTTCTTGTTTGACTTTACTTCCAAAAAAGATCGATGACTTGGTATAGTTTAGTTGTTGACTTGAGGCTTAGCCATACGAAGTAATAATCTTCAGCAGTTCAGTGCATTGTCCAATCTCCGCTCGACAGAAGAAAAGACTGTCGTCGGCAAACCAGAGGTGGGATATCGCGGGCTTGCTTTGACAATCTTTAGTCCGGTGATCCTCCCTTCGTCTTCTGCCCCTCTCATTTAACTAATTAAAGCCTCCGTGCAAATGATAAACAGAAAGGGGGATAGCAGATCTCCTTGTCGGATACCTCGCGCTGGGTAAATCTTTCATTTGGGGGAGTCATTGATTAAGACTTCATAGGAGACAGAGGAAACACATGTCATGATTCAGCTAACCCATTTGGTGTCGAAGCCCATCTTTAACATAAGTGTTTGGAGGAAGCTCCATTCTATTCGGTCATAAGCTTTGCTCATATCAGTTTTTATCGCGATGAATTTTGAGTTACAGATCGGGTTCCCTCTTAAAGCGTGAAAAGCTTCCTGCGCTATCAGAATATTGTCGGAAATCAGTCTCTTGGCCACAAAAGCCGATTGAGTCTCCGATATCAGGGACGGTAGGACTCTTTTTAATCTCATGCAGAGTACTTTGGAGATGACTTTATAGCATACATTGCATAGGCTTATTAGGCGAAACTCTGTCATCTCTCGAGGCCTTTTATTCTTTGGTATTAGACAGATATTG